GCCCTATATCATGAAAGAATTTGCCCATTGCATCATCATCATCATCATCATCACCATCACCCATCATCATCACCATACATCATCATCACCATCCTCCATCATCATCATCATCCATCATCACCCTCCATCATCATCATCATCCATCATCATCCATCATCATCATCATTATCCACCATCATCATCATCCTCATCATCCATCATCATCATCATCCATCATCATCCATCATCCATCATCGTCATCCATCACCATCATCATCCATCATCATCATCATCATCCATCATCATCCTCATCCATCATCATCCTCATCCATCCCCATCCTCATCCTCATCATCCATCATCATCCATCATCATCCATCATCATCATCGTCCATCATCATCATCATCCATCATCATCATCATCATCCTCATCATCCATCATCATCATCCTCCATCATCATCCATCTTCCATCATCCATCATCATCATCCATCATGATCATCCTCATCCATCATCATCATCCATCATCATCCATCATCATCCTCATCCATCATCATTATCATCATCCCGCATCATCATCCTCCATCATCATCATCATCCACCATCATCATCATCCTCATCATCCATCATCGGCAATCCTGGCTGCTTTCATACCTCAGAATGCTCTTGCAGCCGTGGCTCGTCGTGCTCTGTGTCGTTGAGCTTGTGGTGCTTGTAATGGTGGTGCTCGTCGTGGAGGTTGAAGTGGAGGTTGTGGTGGTGGATGTGTCAATAAACTGCCCTATTATGATCGACTCATCAGGTTCGCTTGGACCTTGTTTGAGCCACATCATTATAGTATATGAAGCTGCGTTCAGCTGCAAGTCTGATTGTACTCCCATGGTGTACGGGAGTTCGCTTGATGGAACAGTCTCATGGTATGCCCACACCGGGACGTTGGCCGATGTTGGGTCACAAACGAAATCCTTGGCTAAAATCTCCAAAAGTCGACAAGTGTGTACGCCAAATGTTCACTGAATCATCTGGGTCATGGCAAGTCTCAAGCTCTTGGATCAGGATGATTGATGAATCTTCTTCAAACTGCAGGACATCTCCTCACAACAGCTCAGGACAACTGCTGGTCAAAACGCTCTTTTACAGTACATACATAATGGTAAACTAGGTGTGTATATATATATATACGTGAAGTGTCTGCGCAAGTCTTAGCATTGCCAAGCCTGTGCTGAAGCCAATCTCGACTGTCTGCGAGGCAGTGTTGGGAAGGGCTGTGCTGTGCACAATATCGTTCATCTTCACGGTAACGTTCCCAGAGGAATCGCTTCCGAACGTCACCGCCTGAAGTGATGTTTGATGGACATCGTAAGAATAAGGATGCATGGTCTTTTTGTGCCTGAGGGCCATAAGCATATCATAGCATATCCAAGTGCGGCTGCGTTAGAAAAGACCTCTGTCGGTGTTCCCCCAAAAAGCAGGTTTTAATGAAATAATACAGTATCGATATTGTTCTGCTGTTATCGTTTTTTACAAGGTTTTGAAGCGGGCACACACACAGAGCAAACTTCTTTTCTCAGGTTGATGAACTCGAAGAAGAATTGGAAGAAGAACTCGACTTCAAAAAACAGAAATTTCAAATGGTTCTCTTCAGTAAAAAACATTTTGACTTGGAAATGGATAGGTGCTCAAATGAGATGTGTTGTTAACAAACGCTTTGGTGACTGAATATGTCCACAGAATTTCGGCCATAGATCGGTCGCACACTCACCATGTTATCGTACTTTTTTGCAGCAAACCCTGGACATGGGACCTACCTGCTTTAAACCTTGGCCCAGGCTATTGTACAACTCCAAGTGAGAAAAAAATATCCCCAAGTTAAACAAGCCCTCACATTATTGTAGGGAAACTCAACAAAGCAAACTGTCATGCGTTCACGTCTAGCAGAGTAACGACAACACCATGGCCCTGCAGCTGCAAAGAGACGGTGCCCACTCCAGAGTCAGAGTAGCCACGATACGCACCACTGTACTGCTCAGAGTCAGGCGAGAAGAGAGTGCTTTCGTCGGAACTGAAGACCCATCCCGCCTGCGAACCAAGTTGGAGAAAAAAACATGCAAAGTATCAAGCATATCAAATTAAGTTTATGGTGAGCGAATAGAATAGCCCAACCTCGGTCATCGCATCTGCGGTGGTAAAGTTTGTCACTGAGCTGGAGCCTCCGCACATGTTCTTGTACCTTGAAAGTGTTGCCCAAGGCACAAGTCAAGCTCATTACAACGCATTGCAACTTCCATTTCCACAGGTTCTCCACTACAGTGTGCATACAGTTCGCTACTCTTCAACGAGACTAGCTGCAAAAACTTCGCGGACTCAAATTAATGAACAAAACACCAACTCTTGGATGTTTAATGACATAAAAGCGTTTTCCGCTGCATTGATATTGGTCTTAACATGTGTCTGTGTTATTATTGCTACTATAAACCCCCCCAAAAAATACTTTTAAAGGTGAGCAAAAACAAGGACCAATCGACCAATCATCATCATGAACTAATTTGATCTAATTTGTGTCCAGATGCTATATCGCCTTATGTTTGTGGACAGAAATTGATCCATCATTAATGACTTAATGACCTTCCTATCTTTCAGGGGACAATGATTTGCAATTGGAGAAAGCCCTTGAAACATAGGACCAAAACATGAAAATAATATATATATATAAGTGACAGAAGAATTCATCAATTTTGTTATTCTGAGATTGATGAATGTTTTGGTGCCAAATATGTTATTTACTAAGTATACTAAATTACAGTAACAATGAGCGCAGTCACCCCACAAGCCACATGAAATGAATCTGAGGCACCAATCTGAGCTTCCACTAAGGCGGCGATGCGTTCCGCAAGCGCCAAAAAGCAAACCTGGCAGTTCCGGTTCAATGCGAAAGCATGTCAGCAAACAGCGCAGGTCGGCCTAAAATGTACACCCGCCGGAGGCGCATAAATGCACCCAAAATGGCCTCAAACAGCCGGCGGGCAACGTGGACCCTTGCTCTCATCACACATGCAAGAAATGCGGCACAGCTCGTACAAAAGTGCCGGAAGAGCGACTGGAAAGAGCATCGCAGTTGCCCATCAACAACCTTGGTTCATCAAACACCCTGTGTCAAATAGCAACTGCCAGCACATAGTAGCACTTCTGCCGCCAGCAAACCAGCGAGCTCATCATTAACAAACTGACTGAGTTTCAACCCATCCTCGAGCCAACGGCTGTATACAAGAGCTGTCAAGTCAAAAGTTAATGAAGTATTTACAATTACCAATACACTTAGACTACGTGCCGTAGACGTAGGCTCCGCAGACTAGTTCCTGCAATATTGACACTTGGCTCTCTGGCAATCATAACGCAAAAGCACTGGCAGGCCAAAACTGTGGGATCTTGCGGGCGCCACTCCCCGATAGAAAACAAGGGTGCCACCCGAAAGAACCAAGGCGCCGGCGCCGTGAATGAATGTGGGATGCGACCCGAACGCGAAAACAGCAAAAGAAAAGCGTCTTTTCAAAGCGCACATCGATGTCTAAGTTCGATCAAAAGGCGTAGGCGGGACATTCAATCCACATGCAACACAACAAGCCGAATCCATGGAAAATCTCACATCAACGAAAAAGAGCGTTGCTGTGTTGCCTTCATTCTCGACTTTCGTCGCTCTCGCTGAGCTCGTCTCAATCCAGCTCTCCTTTCTTCTTCACAACGGTCTTCCTTTGTCTCAATCAGGCACAATCGATTGTTGGCCCTGAACTTGTCCAGGAGGTCAGAACTCATCTCCTTGGTGAGCGGATCTGCGAGCTGCTTCCATGTAGGAACCCACCGAAGCTGGAGGATCTTGTTCTCCACCAACTTCTTGACCATCAGCATATCCAATGCTGCCTGCTTTTCACTGGCCATTGACCCTGTCTTGTTGACCTGGTCGTTCAATCCCTTCGCGTCTGTGATGAGGACGCCACCTACCTTCAGACGCTCACGCCACATGGGCGTTATGTCAACTTGGCCATGGAACAGGGCATCAAGTAATGCACGGTTGTACAAAACTCGATCAGCTGCAGAAGTCATTGCTGAGGCCTCTGCGGCGAGGCTAGACCTCACAACCCGGTGCACCTTTCCACTGTGAAATTCCAGCAGACTTGACTCACTTGACTTGGTCGGCTGAGTGGTGACCTTTGAAGTGCCTCCGCTTGCTGAGCACTCATCGCCTGGGTCTTACCTAGCGATGCATCAAAGTAGGTGACCAGCATGGGATTTTCATCCACTGGGTGAAGCACGTTGGTGGCCTTACCATGAAGGGCTGCTTTCTTCGTGGATGCCAGCAAGACATTGGTCGCTTCAAGATCTCTCCCTTTTGCTCTGGCCACTGTCTGAGCCAAAGAACTGACCTTGTAGATGAACTCTGGCATCAACAAATGGGCAGGCCACCCGAGCTGCATGATCAATCTCCGAAAGCTGGAGAGTTGTGCTCCCTCCAAATCCACCTCGCTGGCCGTGGTGTTGTCAGCCGGCTGAATCTTGGCCACATACTCGCTCATGTCATCAACAAAACAGCCATTGCGAGCATAGGTTTTCACTCCCAAAAACGTGACTCCAGCTTCTGAAACAGACTGCCATTCCTTAATGCTGAATTTTGAGTTGATCTGTTTCTGAGCCGTTGACATACGATTGGGAGCTGTCACAAAGAAACCATCGTCGACGTGCAGGCACAAAATAGCCACAACAATCTTTCTCCTTCGTGACAAAGGTTGCTCTGCACATCTCCAGCTCAATGTATCCCAGCTCTTCCAACAGCTCTTTCGCTCGAAGGTACCAGAGACGAGGGGCCTCTGATAAGCCATATGCTGACTTGCAAAGGAGGAGTAACTCATAGGGCTTGATTCCTGGTTCATCTCGAACGGCTGGTAAGCCCTCAGGAGGGGCTTTGATGACCACCTTTCTTTCCACAGGGCGACCTGAAAGGAATGCAGTACTGACATCAAAACAAGCTGCTGCCCAACGACGTGTCAGTGCAATATCCCTACCAATTAAGGGGGGGGACCTCAAAAATTGTAAGTTACATTTGTTTGGGGGGTCGGCCTTAAGTGAAGCGTCAAAACTGTAAGCTTACATTTTTGAAAGATAGCCGCAAAAATGTAATCTTACATTTTTGAAAGATAGCGTCAAAAATGTAAGCTTACATTTTTGATCATGTTTGAGGTTATCCAAGACTCTCAGCATATGTCAAGAACATTCAGGAACATGAAGCTGCACGAATCTGCTTTGAGAATCTTTGAGACAACATGTTCATAAAAAAATCATATGAAACCATAAGATTTCATGAGACATCCTGAAGCTTTCATGTCATTGCTTTTGCTGAGTCTGGCTGGACTCCTTTTTCCTCACACCGAATCACAGCTACAGATACCATGACGGGCCCTGGAATCTAATCCAGCTGGTACAACCGGTGATCTCCAACCTAGTAGCGATGGCCTCCAACGTAGAAGTGATGGCCTCCAAACTAGAAGCGATAAAATACAACTGGCAAAATCTGACCAAATACAACTGCTTGATACTGCTTGACAAAAACATTAGGGGGGGGTCGAAAAATGTAACTTACAACGTTCCACGTGTTATGTTACATTAACCCCCCGCCCCCCCCTCAAAAGTAACTGTCTGCGCACCGACGCAGACTAAGAATTCCCCAGGGAATGTATCGTACGGTGAACATTTTTTCTAGGGGTGGGTCAGCATACATTTTCTTACCCCCCAATTTAACCCCCCCGCAACACGTAGGGGAGGGGTAACTTACAATTATCCCCCCCGAAAATGTAACTTACATTTTTTGAGGTCAGCCCCCCATTTTTCAGGGTTAAGGGGGTAGGGATAGTGCAATGATTTTGGTCATCTGTACTGCTGCCCATGTGGTGGTAGGAGCATCAGAGCGATAGGCACCAAGGTGTGGGTCCTGGTGCCCAGGCACTACTAGCCTCGGCTTTGACTGAAAGCTGCCTGTGAGTGCCCCTTTGCTCACACGGATCAACCGCGCCGGCGCCCGAAACACATCGTTCGGGCTAAGCTCTTTGATCTCCTGGTCCGTGAGTCTTCTCACCACCCTATTGTCAATCCAGGAAGTCCATTCTTTCTTGTCACTTTCTTGAAAGGCCTTCTGTTCCTCCTGGCTGAAGTGTTTCGGCTCCAGCTCTTTCCCGTTTTGTTTGTTGATCAGGAGGAAGGCTTCTTTGAAGGCTTGACTATCCTCTTCCTCCCTTCGGATCTTCATCCATTCTTCAAAATCATCGACCTTGACTTCATACACGCCATGCGGGAGTTTTGCATATACGTGTCCTTCTTTCTTGGTCTTCCTCTCTTGTCTTTGGGCCTTGACTTGACTTCTGCCTCAGTTTCCTGACAAATCAGGGCTGTGCTACTCTTTTCACCGAACATGAGGGTGATCCTCCCTTTTCCTTCTTTTGCAGGCTTTTGTAGTCTCTTCCTTGGGGCGATGTGATATCGCATGCTGGTGATTGGAAGGTCCAGCAATTGGGCCATCTTCTGAACTTCATGCCTTGGGGCCCACTCATTGGCCCGTTGCTTCTTCCCGGTCAGGCCTAGCGTGGTATAGCGCATCAGCTGCGGACTGAAGCGATCTCTCAACTCCTCCTCTGTGAGACCTGCTGGTGGCTCCTCGTGGCTTTTCCTCGCTTGCTTCAGGCCAACGCCTCCCTCTTCTTTCCTGGAGTCTTCAAGTCCAGTTTCAGCTTCCTGCTCTTCTCTTTGACTATTGTCCTTTGCACCTTTCTCAATCCTCTTAGGCTCTTCGCAATTTCCTTAGCTCTGAACTTCTTACGTCCTCCTTGCGTAGGGATGATGACCCCTTCTTGTGGTGCCCATCCCAATGCTTCTTCCTTTTCTGGAGGTGCTACTTGGCTGAGATCTTCATACTCTCTCTCTCTCTCTCTCTTGGTCTCGATCCCAATGCCTTTCCAACTGATCCAATTCTTGAACTCGACCTCTGAAATCACCTCCTTCTAATGAGGTACATGTGCGGAGATTGGGAGCCGCGACCAAGAGGCATCTTCCTCGCCAGCTAATGTAGTACCTCTCCGCACTTTCTTTCATGAGCACGATGGCTGGCCCTCTCCAAGCTCCTCCTTCTTTCTTGAACCTCGGTGCATTTGGCTTGGGCGCGTAGAAGAACACCATCTCACCTGGTGTGAACTCCTTCACCTCCCCTCTTGGCCATCTTCTGAGTGCTCTCTTTAGTTTATCTTGGCAATCTTGTCGAAGGAGAGCGATCTTGGCAGCTGCACGAAGTTCAGCATTCCTTTGAACTTCTCCTTCTTGAGCGAGTGACTCCCTCAAGGCTAGGTTCCCAGTGGCATCTTCTTCCAGGAGGTCAGGGAACATTGGTGTCCTGCCGATCACCATTTGATACGGGGTATAGCCCCCGCGAGTCACCGTCTGGTTCTTCGCCTGTACAGCTGCCGCCAAAGCACCTTTCATATCTTGCTTTCCTTTGACCTGATATTGCCATATCACTGAGTGCCACGCTTGTCCCAACAGCCCCCCGTGCCTCTCTGCGAAACCGTGCTGCCAACCGGCTCTAGCTCCCGTGCACCTTGAGCGCACTCCATGCGATTCCAACCACCCGACAAACTCCCCATCGAATTCTCCTCCTTGGTCAATGAAGACGACCTCCGGAACGCCATAAAGGCTGCACCAGTGCCGGTAGAATTTGTGGGCAACATGGTTGGCTTTCCTGTTCTGTAGAATGACTGCCACGTGGAAGGATGTGGCTCCATCAATCATGCTTAAGGCCACATAGAGCTTCTGGCTTTGGTCACGCATGTACTTCAAGTCCATGTGGACTTCTTTCCCAAAGGTCACTGGTCGGGAGACCGGGTTCTGCTTTGATATCGGCCCGGAGCTGTCACTGCTTCGCACGTGGGGCACTTGTAGTTCTCTGCTGTCTCAATGACATGCTTTGGTGCTCCGGCCAAGCTAAGCATCCTGACCAATGTAGCCCTTGTAGGATGCCCCAATCGTTGGTGCACCTGGGCAACTTTCCATTCAGCACTCCCTTTCTTCACTTCTCTTC